TAGAGCTAAAACTCTGGAGCCATTCAATTTCTTGCAGCGGAGCTTTCGCCACCCCCGTACACCCCTCCATCCCCGCAGCTTGAAGCCCCATCCTATAACTCCACCTCGTCGCTCCACTACCAAATCTGCGGAGTCTACCATCGCGCGGTGCTCTTCCATCCCTCCTTCTCTCTCTCCTCCACCCTTCCTTCTTTCCTTCTCTTTGCCCCCACTTTCCCAAAACCCACCCCTTCTTTCTCTCTCCTTCTTCAACCCCTCTTTCCTTCCTTCTCTTTGCCCCCCACTCTTTTCACCAACACATCCCCCTCTTTCTCTCTCTCTCCTCTTCAACCCCTTCTTTCCTTCCTTCTCTTTGCACCCCTTTCTCAAAATATAACCCCCTCCTTCTCTCTCTCTCTCCTTCTACAACCCCTTTCCTTCTTTCCTTCTCTTTGCCCCCCACTTTCCCAAAACCCACCCCTCTTTCTCTCTCCTTCTTCAACCCCTCTTTCCTTCCTTCTTTTCCCCCCCCCACTCTTTTCTCCAAATACAGCCCCCTCCTTCTCTCTCTCTCCTTCTTTGCCCCCCTACTCTTCCCCCCTTTCTCTATCTCTTTCTCCTTCAACCCCTTCTTTCCTTCCTTCTCTTTCTCTCTCTCCTTCTACAACCCCTTTCCTTCTTTCCTTCCTTCCCTAACCATCCCCCCACTCTTTCCCCCAAATACATTGCCCTCTTTCCCCTTCTCTCTCCTTCTTCAACCCCCTCTTTCCTTCCTTCCCTTTGCCCCCCACTCTTTTCCCCAAATAAAGCCCCTCTTCTCTCTCTCTCATTCTTTCTCCCCCCTTTCCTTCTTTCTTTTTTACCCCCCCCCACTTTCCCAAAATACAACCCCCTCCTTCTCCAGCCCCTTTCTCTCTCTTTCCCCCCCTTTTCACCTCAACCCTCACCCCAATACATGCAACGTCAAGCCCCCCCCCAATTAATTCCCTCTCCACATCTCCCCCCTTTTTACTGAGAGGGGGAGGGCTGCATTCCTTTTCCTCCCCCCTCCCTTTCCCTCTAGATCTCTTTCCCCCTTTTGACTCCAAATTCCAGACACTTTGCCCCCCCCCCGTTTTCCCACACAAATAAGGGTGGGGGCCCTTAAAGGGATACTCCATAATAACAACACTAGTTTGGGAGGGAGAGAGAGAGAGAGAGAGGGAGGGAGGGAGGAAGGGAAGGAGGGGGGGTCGAGTCTCTCTCTCTCTCCTCCACAACCCCCTCCCCCAATAAACCCCCCACTCTCCTTCTCTGTTTGGGGGGGGGCAATCGGGCTTTCCTCTCCTTTGGTCTCTCCCTCGCTGAAGGGGACTTTGAGGGGGAAGGCAGCCCCTTCCTTTCCCCTCAGGGGAGCCCCCTTTCTCCTCCTCCAACCTCCCTTCCCCTCAGCTCAGGCCTGGCTTTACCTTCAGGGCTGGGCTCCGCCATGGCCGCCCCCCCTCCACCTCCTCCTGGACCCCCTTCGCCTCCGTCTGTCCGTCCGGTGCCGCCCGACTCCGCGTCGCCTCCTCCTCCTCCTCCTCCTCTTTCCCCCCTCCCTCCTTCTCCTCCGCCCCCTCCCTCAGCCCCTCCTCACGCGCCGAGCATCTCGGGAAATGGAGTCCTTCTCCTTCGTCCCTCTCGCCCGCGCATGCGCTCTTTCTTCCTCCCTCGCCTCCTCATGCTCTCCCGCCCCTCCCTCCTTTTCTCCTTCTCAGGCTGGCGCCCCCTCGCGGGAGCCCTACAAACTCCCCGGAGCACGCCTCACCTCTCTGCGCATGCGCCTCGTCTTTCCTGCCTTCCTTTCCTTCCGATACCTCCTCCCTCTCCCGCCCCAAAGTACGCCTCTCTTTTCTGAGCATGCGCACCGCCTTTACTCCTTTCCCACTCCTCGCTCTCCCCTCCCTTTTGAGGGCGGGGCCTCGCGGGAGCTATACAACTCGAAGGTCCGCCTCGCCGCGCATGCGCCTCGCGTTTCATAGCTGCTAACTAACGTCTTTTTCTTTCCCCTCGGAGCGCCCCCTCTCGGAGCTTCAGCGTCGCCGCGCATGCGCTTTGCTTGCCATTACTGGTATCTTTTTCTCCTCCTCCTCTCTCCCCCTCCCTCTCAGCGTCGCCGCGCATGCGCTTTGCTTGCCATTACTGGCATGTTTCTCCTCTTCTCGCCCCCTCCCTTTCAGTGTCGCCGCGCATGCGCGTTGCTTGCCATTACTGATATCTTTTTCTCCTCCTCTCGCCCCTTCCCTTTTAGTGTTGCCGCGCATGCGCTTTGATTGCCATTCCTGGTTTTTTTTTCTCCTCCTCCTCTCGCCCCCTCCCACTCAGTGTCGCCGCGCATGCGCTTTGCTTGCCATTACTGGTATGTTTCTCCTCCTCCTCTCGCCCCCTCCCTCTCAGTAGCGCCGCGCATGCGCTTTGCTTGCCATTGCTGGAATCTTTTTCTCCTCCTCTCGCCCCTCCCGCTCAGCGCAGCCACGCATGCGCTTTGCTTGCCATTAGCCTTCTCGTCGCGCCCCTCCCGCTGCGCATGCGGTTTGCGTGTCATAACTGTTCTCTCGCCTCCCCCCCGCTCAGCGTAGCCGCGCATGCGCTTTGCTTGTCATGCCTGTTCTTTCCTCCTCCCCTCCTGCTCAGCATCGCCGCGCATGCGCTTTGCATACTGTTCTCATACCCCCTCCCGAACAGCGTAGCCGCGCATGCGCTTTGCTTGTCATTACTATTCTCCTTTCCTCCTCCTCCTCCCGCTCAGCATCGCAGCGCATGCGCAGTACTTGTCATCAGTTATCCTTTTCTCCTCCTCGCCCCCTTTCGCAGCGTGGTCGCGCATGCGCTGTATATGTCTTCACTGTTCGTCCCCATGCTCAACTCAGCCCCTGATGGAGCAATATAGAATTCCCAGAATCCACCTCGCCGCGCGTGCGCTTTGGTCATCTCCCCCTCCTTTTCTCTCTTCCTCTATTCCCGGCAAAGCCTCAAGGGGGCCGGAAAGGAAGTGACGCAAAGCGTGAAAGAGATGCTGGGTAATGTAGTTTTCTGAGGAGGAAAGCAAGGGGAAGCCATGCTTCTGAGGAAAGGCGCAGGACCCCCACCGAGGGCTCTTAAAGGGGCCGCGTCCTATTTCCCTGCCTTGCTGCTGAGAGAACCCACTGCCCCATTTTCCAACTGTTCCCATGGAATCCTCTGCATGGCAAACCGGCTTTCTTCAAATCCAGGTTTGAAACTGCATTAAAGGCTCGGTGTAGATGCGGCCTAAAAAACACCTATGCCTGCTTCCTGTTGCATTAAAAATGTCAAGTGTTTCCCATCATTTTCTGCAAGATTTCCCATTCAAAATGTTAATCGATTATTAGATTGTACACAATGAACATTGATAATCAGGAAGCAACAAAATGCTTTCGCATATGAAGTATATGGATATGTAAAAAGTTGAGGATATATTTCAAGGGGTTTATATATTTGTGGAATTAAAAAACTCTAAAATTGCAACAGCACAACAACAGAGAGGAAGCAGGCAGGGACATCTAAACACCTCTCAACAAAAGTTTGCTCCAGGCACAGTCAGCCCATTGTATGCTAATCAAGGTGGTCAGTTGAAACCAAATGACGACACCTAGCTCCAGCAGAAAAGAGTCCTTTGTCTCACMCTGGTYGTTCCACAGATATATAAACCCCTTTCCCCTASTTCTAACAGACCTCTCTACCTCTGAGGATGCTTGCCATAGATGCAGGCGAAACGTCAGGAGAGAATGCCTCTAGACCAGTGTTTCTCAACCTGGGGGTCGGGACMCCTGAGGGGGTCGTGAGGGGGTGTCAAAGGGGTCGCCAAAGACCATCAGAAAACATGGTATTTTCTGTTGGTCAYTGGGATTCTGTGTGAGAAGTTTGATCCAATTCTATTGTTGGTCGAGTTYRGAATGCTCTTTGATTGTAGGGGAACTATAAATCCCAACAACTACAATTCCCAAATGTCAATGTCTATTTTCCCCAGACTCCACCAGTGTTCACATTTGGGCATATTGAGTATTTGTACCAAATTTGGTCCAGATCCATCATTGCATGAATCCACAGCACTCCTCTGGATATAGGTGAATTATATCTCCCAAACTCAAGGTCAATGCCCACCAAACGCTTCCAATGTTTTCTGTTGGTCATGGGAGTTCTGTGTTCCAAGTTTGGTTTAAATCCATCGCTGGTGGAGTTCAGAATGCTCTTTGATTATAAGTGAACTATAAATCCCAGCACCTACAACTCCCAAATTACAAAATCAATCCTCACCCCCCCCCCCCCCCCCCCCCCAACCCCACTAGCATTCACATTTGGGCATATTGGTTATTTGTGCTCAATTTAGTCCAGTAAATGAGAATCCATCCTAAATATCGGATATTTACATTACGATTTATAACAGTAGTAAAATGACAGCAACGAAAACAATATTATGGTTGAGGGTCACCACAACATATGGAACTGCATTAAGGGGTCACGGCATTAGCAAGGTTGAGAACCATTGCTCTAGACCATGGCCATACAGCCCGAAAAAACCTACAACAACCCAATGATTCCGGCCATGAAAGCCTTCGACAATACACCCTGGCAATCTTATAAAATGACGACTCTGGGACTTGTGTTTCTCCTTAGATATTGTTTTAATTAGCATTCCCCATCCCCTCTGGTTAATAAGAGACTGCCAGGCGGAACACAGCCCTGGCAGGAAACAAAAACTCAGGGCGCAAAGTGGCAAGATCAAAACTGGGGAGGAAATGTTGAGAAAGTCTCCCCACCCCTTTGAAAGAAAAGGGGAGGAATAAAAGGAGAGGGGGATGAAGCAAAGGGAAAAGGAGGGAGGAAAATAAAAGCAGGTAAGTGTGAAGGAATTACAAAGAACGGAAGGAGAGAGAGGTATCTTGCTTTCAGCCGTACAACCACCTCAAAAACAAAAAAGCCCAACCAGAGCATGCGGAGGGAGGAGAAAGAAATGGGTTGATAAGGAAATGAGGCTAAAAGGATTGCAGAGAAGGAGGGAAAGGGGAAAAAAAGACCAAAACACCCCCCTTTTTCCTGGGCCAAAGGCTCTTGAACATAAAATCAACAACAACAAAAAGTGCAGGTCCCTTCAGGAGCAGGTGCTGCCCCCTGATGGTGGCAGGTGGTGGCGCGCCTCACAGGCTGCCCCCATAGACGCTCTCATCGCTGTAGGCAATGTACAGGAAGAAGTCTTCCTCGTGGTGTTCCTGCAAAGGGGGAGGGTTTGGGGAGAAGAAGGGGCTGTCAGTCTGGGTGGCTGGGAAAGACCCAAAGGGTGGGCGCGGAGATTCGGAGAGGGAATACACATGCTTTGTGTGCGGGAAGGCCACAAAGATGCAACCGGACTTCCAAAGGATCCCAGGAAAGTACAGGCAGGCAGGCCCCAAGTTATGAACAAGAGAGATTCTTAAGTTGAATTTCTATGTACCGTATATACTCGAGTATAAGCCGACCCAAATGTAAGCCGAGGCATCTAATCTTCCCACAAAACCTGGGAAAATCTATTGACTCGAGTATAAGCTGAGGGTGAGAAATGCAGCTGCTACTGGTAATCATCAGTAGGTAAAATGTTTTTGAGTATTTACACAAAACTCTAATTTAATATAAGACTGTCCACCTCTGATCAAACCATTATTCTAACCTTCTTCAATGTAAATATGCTTACGTATCCTTCCAACAACAAAGAGGGTAAAAAATAAATTAATAAAAAATAATAATAGAGTAAATAATGGAAATTTAATAGTAACATTAATAAGAGTTAAATAATAAATGTCATTTTCTGCAGTACGTAAGAATTATCTGCCAGTAATGCAAATCTAAAGCCAGAAAGGATAAGGGAGAGACATGTGAAAATCCTAAGCTTACAAATGTTTGCTGATGTATTTAATTTTTTATCTGTTTTTCTGTTTTCTGTTTTTCTACTTGGGTTGTATTTTGTCTTTACTGAGTTTGTAAAAGCAATTTATTTGTCGTGTCAGGACAACCAGTCAAATTATATTACATTTCTAACAGAACAAAGCAAACAAACAGACAAAATACAAAATTTGTGAATTTGGTAGTTGATTAAATGTCCTTTGACCAGTATCTGGCCACTTGGAGTGCTTCTGGTGTTGCTGCAAGAAGGTCCTCCCTTGTGCATTGTGTAAAAGCAATTAAACATATTAATACTGTGGTGTTCGTTTTGTTGTCTATAACCATGTTCAAAAGATTTCACCTCACTTTCTGTCTCTGTGATAATTGCTTTTTTTAAAAAATTGACTTGTTGTCAAAACCAAGTTTCAGCGGAGACCCCTTTCCCACATGATAACAACATTTCCAGGAGTAAATTTCCCTTCTGAGGGGGAGATTTCTCTCACTTCCTGTTGTCTCACGTCCATGCTTAACTAATAAGTAAGTCAGGTGTTTGTAACTTGGGGACTGCTTATACATCCTCTCTAGCCTGGACTCAGGGGACAGCTGGGAAAAGTTACTTTGGCCCTGCTCCTATTCAAAAGGGGTCTACCAACCAACCAACCCCAGAGCCTTTGCTCCTGATCAGATGAGTTTGCCAAAGTTACTGGAGGAAGGGGGAAAGTAAGTAAGCAACTCAGATACTCAACCAAAAGTATCTCCTTAACCTCGATCTCAGGGGGCTTTCTGTCACTCAGAGGTCTTAGAAAAGTGACAATTGTTTGCATTCAACTCCCAGATTCTCCACTTGGCTGCTCTCTCACCAAACTAGATCTGAGGAGAGCCAATACTGGCAGCCGGAGGAAATGTGGCAAAGGTTTTGTTTGTTCAGGAGAACACGAGGGAGTTCTAGGAACTGCACTTCAAGCAAAGTAACTTCCCTAAGCTCCGGCCAGGAGAATGTGCAAGACTAAATGGAGCAATGGTTTCACTTGGCCTAGGTCCAGGAGAAGTTAGTTGTTTCCACCCACAAAACCTGGCCCCTACCCCAAAATTTGACTCTTATTTCAGAGTGTTTAGAGCAGTGGTTCTCAACCTGGGGTCCCCAGATGTTTTTAGCCTTCAACTCCCAGAAATCCTAACAGCTGGTATACTGGGTATACTGGCTGTGATTTCTGGGAGTTGTAGGCCAAAAACATCTGGGGACACCAGGTTGAGAACCACTGGTGTAGAGTTTTAGAATGACTTTATGCTGCTTCAACCACCCTCCCTGAAAGAAAATATGGGGTGGTGACTTTCTTTCTTTTCCTTGTTTCATGAGCCTGGGCCTGATGCCCGCTCACCTGGTAGAGCTGCCCCATGGTGGCACTGGTTGGGGGGATGACGTTGTTAACGAAAAAGAAGAGCGCATCCTCCGCTCGAAGGTGGATCCTTTTCCGGATCAGGAAGTAGAACTGCCCAACTGTGGGGTGGGGGAGGGGGAAGAAGAAAAGGGAGGAACAAGTATCTGTCAGTCAGAGGAGCAAAGGGAAGTGAGAGTTCTTAAACAGGATACTGGCATTCTCCTCTGATGTCTCAAAAGAAACGGCTTACTTTATGAAGCAATACTAAAAAATGTCCTCTGTAGAGCTTAGAAAAATCCAGGTTTCAAATTTTAGAGACTTGTAGAATCATAGAGTTGGAAGAGACCTCATGGGCCATCCAGTCCAACCCATTCTGCCAAGAAGCAGGAATATTGCATTCAAAGCACCCCTGACACATCCAGCCTCTGTTTAAAAGTTTCCAAAGAAGGAGCCTCCACCACACTCCGGGGCAGAGAGTTCCACTGCTGAACGGCTCTCACAGTCAGGAAGTTCTTCCTAATGTTCAGATGGAATCTCCTTTCTTGGAGTTTGAAGCCATTGTTCCATTGCATCCTAGTCTCCAGGGAAGCAGAAAACAAACTTGCTCCCTCCTCCCTATGACTTCCTCTCACATATTTATACATGGCTATCATATCTCCTCTCAGCCTTCTCTTCTTCAGGCTAAACATGCCCAGCTCCTTAAGCTGCTCCTCATAGGGCTTGTTCTCCAGACCCTTGATCCTTTGAGTCGCCCTCCTCTGGACACATTCCAGCTTGTCAATATCTCTCTTGAATTGTGGTGCCCAGAATTGGACACAATATTCCAGGTGTGGTCTAACCAAAGCAGAATAGAGTATGGGGAGCATGACTTCCCTAGATCTAGACACTAGGCTCCTATTGATGCAGGCCAAAATCCCATTGGCTTTTTTTGCTGCCACATCACATTGTTGGCTCGTGTTTAACTTGTTGTCCACGAGGACTCCAAGATCTTTTTCACACGTACTGCTCTCGAGCCAGGCATTGTCCCCCATTCTGTATCTTTGCATTTCTGTCTGACCATAAGGAGAGCATGACTTCTAGATCTAGATTGTAGTTCAAAATGTAACTATTTCTGAGCTCTGGTATGAGAACATGTCAACTAGAGCCAATCCGAACAAGAATCCCTTCTCAAGTGGACAGGACTTCCTCCAAATACTCCACCAAAATTTTGGACCTATTCTGAATCTCTCACCAAACTGGATGATGAGTGGAAGGATGATGGGGATGGCCTCCTCCTCATCCCCCCCCCCATCTGTTCCAGCCTTTGGGTTCGTTCTCTCTCCTCCCCCTTAGTCGGACTCATACCTGTGAGGTCTGATGGGACAAGGTATTTCTTCTTGTCCAGGTCTCCTATCCGGGCCTTGGGCGCTTTTTCCACGATGACCTGTTGAGAGAGACATAGAGAGAAAGGCTGGGTCAGTGAAGGGCAAGGAGGAAGAGCTCAAGCCACAACAGTCAGAGGAGCGGAACCATTCCTATAATTAGGAAGTCTTGAGCAACAGAACAAGCTGTTCAAGAAAGGGCCGGGATCAGCTTTCCAGGAGAACCTTTACCGGTGACAGTTGAAAGCGGGAAGTCTTGCTGCAACAGGCTCAAGACTCACAAACAGGCCTTTCAGAGGGAGGGAACTTGGGTGCCATCGGGTTGAAGGCGTTTCCAAAGAACAGCCCAACTTGGAGATGCGTGAAGTCATGAACAGTGGCATTCTCCTCACCCGGAGGGAACCACAAACAGGGGCTTCTTATGTCAAAGGGAGGAATTACCAGATAGACTTGAACCCAATATCCCTTCTTTTCAAAGGGATCATGTCCCTACTCTCTTAAAGGCTGGATAGCCTTTAAGAGAGTACCGGGACTGTGTCAGCTGCATTAAGATCACTACTGCCCGAAAGGTCATGAGTTCGAAGCCAGCCCGGGTCGGAGTGAGCTTCTGGCCAATTTGCGTAGCTTGTTGTCAACCTTTGCAATCCGAAAGACTTTTGCATCTGTCAAATTTAGGTACCACCTATGTGTGGGGATGCAGGGAATGTGGAAAATACTTCATCAGTGTCGCAGATGGACGGTGAAGCGACAGCTCCCTTGATGGCCAGAAAATTGGAATGTTAAATTGCCTCTGAGTGTCTGTCTACATGTGTTGTGTGTCTATGGCATTGAATGTTTGTCATCTATATAAATAAAAATGTAATGTTTGTTTGTGGGATTAACATAACTCAAAAACCACTGAATGAATTGACACCAAATTTGGACACAAGACACCTATCAGGGCAACGAGTGAACAGCACTCAAAAAATTGATTTTGTCATTTGGGAGTTGTAGTTGCTGGGATTTATAGTTCACCTACAATCAAAGAGCATTCTGAACTCCACCAATGATGAAATTGAACCAAACATGGCACACAGGACTCCCATGACCAACAGAAAACACTAGAAGGGTTTGGTGGGCATTGACCTTGAGTTTGGGAGTTGTAGTTCCCTACATCCAGAGAGCACTGTGGACTCAAACAATGATGGACATGGACCAAACTTGGCACAAATATTCCATATGCCCAAATATGAACACAGATGGAGTTTGGGGGAAATAGACCTTGACAATTGGGAATTGTAGTTACTAGGATTTATAGTTCACCTACAATCAAAGAGCATTCTGAACCCCACCAACGACAGAATCAGGGCAAACTTCCCACACAGAACCCCCATGACCAACAGAAAATTCTTAAGGCCATCCAGTCCAATTCCCTTCACCAGGGCAAGAAAACGTAATCAAAGCCCTCCTGACAAAGAGCCATCCAGCCATAGGTAAATATATTTCTCATTACTTTATTTTCCAGATCACCAGACTGGGCCACAGCAATGCGTGGCAGGGGACAGCTAGTGTATGTATACATTGTAATCTGCCCTGAGTCTCCTGCAGGGTGAGAAGGGTGGAATAGAAATACTTTAAATAAATAAATAGCCTCCTCCAAGGATCACCTTAAGAAGCAAGTGGAAGATGTCCTAGATTCAGGACTATCCCAAGGCTGGGAAGCGCATGACCCTTCAGGTGTTGTTGGGTGGCAAATGCCAGCATACCACGCCACATGGCTAGACTGGCTGAGACTGCTGGGAGCTGGAGTTCAAGAACATCTAGAGGACTGCATGGATCCCACTCCTGATTTACTATAAAGAACAGCAAACAAGAGTGGGAAGGCAGAGAGGAGTTTGAGGATATGAAGCATTTCCCAGTTATTCTCCAGGAAAAAGGAAAGCGAAACAGAGACACAGGCCGGGGAATGTGGGAATGCTTACAGTACAAGATTCATCAGCCTTGATACGCTTCCTGAGAAAGACTCTACTAGAAAAGATATGGCCTTCTGTGCAAATCTTATCATTTTTGTTTTTAACAGATGTTTGGCAGAAAGGAATTGAATGTCATTGGTTGAAACCTTGAAACATTTAAAAGCAGGGGTCCATTCGAAGACATATCATGCTCATCGTCCCTGGAAAAACATTTCCCCTGATCAGGGAGGCTTTGCGTAACAGGGCATAGGAAGCCTGGGAAGGAAGCCAGGGGCCTGTGCACTCCATCAAGGTTACTCCAACCCCCCTCCAAACACAATTCAGGTGTTTCGCTTGGAGTCCGGCCTCTATGTGACGGTGAGCGAGGCCTCAGCATTGAGTTTCAGTATTTGAAAAGAAGAAAAACTGGAAGGGGGATGTTATCTGGGAGGAGCTGAATGGAATAAAGGCACAGTGTCCCACAATAGTCGTTTGTTTGTTAGTACTAGCAGTAGTAATGAGAATGACAATGTGCCCTCTCTTCCCTTCTGTCTCTCTGAGTGCCATACACCTGCAACAAGGGAATAGCGCTGAGCTATTACATAGACTTGCTATAACAGGAAAAAATCAGGTCAGAGTAAGACATGCCTTGGCTGTTCAAAAGTGTACTAGAAATATCATTGATTTCTGATCTAAGTGAATCCAGAAAGTAATACGGAGAAAGAAGTGAACTCAGGCCCCCTGTATAGCTGTATAAAATCCAGATTATCTGCTTTGAATTGGATTATATGGCAGTGTAGATAAAGGCCCCTTCTACGCTGCCATATAATCCAGATTATCAATGCAGATAGTCCATCCTTTGATCTGACTGGATTATATGAGTCTACCCTGCCAGAGAATCCAGTTCAAAGCAGATAATCTGGATTTTATTTGGCAGTGTAGAAGGGGCCACAGTCAGGGTTGTACCAGGACAATGGGCACTGCTGTCAAAAGAAACATGGATGTGCCAGAAGAAGATTGTTGTTGTTGTTGTTGATAAGATATATTGCTTTCTGTTTGAAAAGGGTTGTTGTTGTTGTTGTCGTTATAGATGCTTTCTGCTACACAGGCACTATTTTCTAACTCTTAAGGCCCCTTCTACACTGCCATATAAAATCCAGATTATATATTGACTACTGCAACGCTCTCTACGTGGGGCTGCCCTTGAAGACGGCCCGGAAGCTCCAGCTAGTCCAGCGCGCGGCAGCCATGTTACTAACAGGAGCGGGACGCAGGGAGCATACAACGCCCTTGTTGTACCAGCTCCACTGGCTGCCGATCTGCTACCGGGCCCAATTCAAGGTGCTGGTGTTGGCCTACAAAGCCCTAAACGGTTCCGGCCCAAAATACCTGTCTGACCGCATCTCGACCTATGAGCCCACAAGGACCTTAAGATCGTCCGGGGAGGCCCTTCTCTCGATCCCGCCTGCCTCACAGGCACGCCTGGCGGGGACGAGGGACAGGGCCTTCTCGGTGGTGGCCCCCCGGCTGTGGACCCTCCCTGTGGACATCAGACAGGCGCCCTCCCTTATGACATTCCGCAAGAGATTAAAGACGTGGTTGTTTGAGAAGGCGTTTGAGTAAGTGCTGTAACAATTGGCAATGACGACTGGAACGGAACATGGATAACGAGATTTGGACTGTGATTCAATGATGAGACGTCGCGAATGATTTAGTGTAATTGTATTATGGATAGTGATGTTGTTTATTGTTGTTGTGATATTGCTTATGTTGTAATTGTTCCTGATTTTATATGTTGTACACCGCCGTGAGTCGCCCTAGGGCTGAGAACGGCGGTCTACAAGTACAGTAAATAAATAAATAAGATTATCTGCTTTGAACTGGATTATATGGCAGTGTAGCTTCAGATAATCCAGTTCAAAGTAGATACTGTAGATTATCTGGCGCTGTAGAAGGGGCCTTAGATGCTTCCCTTTTCCACATTATTGACAGACAAGAATGCAACAAGCATTTCCCAGAAAACCAGTGGCAGAGATGGAAAAACCCTTTCACTTTCATGTAAAGCAATCTGTCCTGCAGATATTTTCAAAACCCAAAGGGGCTAAGACTTCAATAGGGGTAAAAGCAATATAATAATAATAATGATAATGTTGATATGTTTTTATTGCAAATGTTAATGCTGAGTTGATAGGGATGAAAGCAGAATATAATAATAATAACAATAGTAATAATAATATGTTTATATTGCGGATTTTAATGCTGAATCGATAGGGATAAAAACAGAATAATAATAATGGGTTGTTGTAGGTTTTTTTCGAGCTATATGGCCATATTCTAGAGGTATTTTCTCCTGACGTTTCGCCTGCATCTATGGCAAGCATCCTCAGAGGTAGTGAGGTCTATTGGAACTAGGAAAATGGGTTTATATATCTGTGGAATGATCAGGGTGGGACAAGGAACTCTTGTCTGTTTTAATACCAGTATTAAAAAAAACTCTAAAATTACAACAGCAAAACAACAGAGAGGAAACAATCAGGCACATCTAATCACCTCTCAACAAAAGATTGCCCCAGGCACTGCCAGGCCATCAAATGCTAATCAAGGTGGTCAGTTGAAACATTCACACCTAGCTCCAACAGACAAAATATAACCAGTCAGCTTCCCATCTCTGCCAACCAAAATGCAGAGAAAGGGAGGAATGAAGGAGGGAAGAGATACAATGCCCAAGTCCCACAACCCCTTCTTCATTCTTCCAAAACCCACTTTTTGCTCCCTTTTCCATATCCTCCCGCACTTTAGCAGCTGAAACTCAACCAGCTGCATCTTTCTTTGCTGGCTCACTGTCTTGTTTCTCTCTCTGCCAATTAAATGGACTTTAATTGGAGGTTCCTCAAGGCAAGGGACTGCCCACCTGTACTTAAAACATAAATACATCACTGTCATGGGGAGAAAAGGTATCCTGACTAAGTGGAGAGCCTGCTTAAGGACCAACTGGATACAACAGGAATGCAAATAAAGTGGCCTTCCTTCCTTGGAAGATTTTATAAACAGAGGCTGGATGGCCATCTGTCAGGGGTACTTTATGGAGCCCCCGGTGACGCAGTAGGTTAAACCCCTGTATCAGCAGGACT